GAAGAGGATATTTTGAGAACTAACAGATCAATAAAATGCAGCTCCATTACAACTAGTTTCCATCCTGGTACTGCAGTTATTTTAAACCAGAACCTCTGGCAGCCTAACGAAAAAGCCAGACTATTTCCTAATAATAACGTATTCACTTAAGCTTTCAGTTATAAATCAGATTATTTCCTAAACACGCTTTTGGAAGGACATTATTAAGATTAACTCCTGCAAAGAGTTTTGAAGATTAAGGGTAAAAGTCTTCAGCTCAAGTTAATGTGCTTTTCAAAACATTACCCTAAAATACCAGGTGTTGAATGCATTTCATGGCCCTCACTCTCTGCTCACTCACACAAATACCACAGGGTTCTTTCAGAACATTTGCACTCAAGTTTCTGGGACACATCATCTCTGCACTTATTGTATTTCCTGTTATCCGCCTACTTCTGATGTTCACTTTTTTTTTTCCCCATCCTGGATGTTTATGTATCAAACACTCTTTCTGTGTGTCTAGTTTTTCAGCATCCGTATTTCTTGTATAGGGATAATTCACTGGTACTGAGCTCACTACCCTCTCAAACATTCATTGGAAACACTTCAGAATTTATGACCAGGTAATGTGTTGTAAATAAATTCTCCACCTCTGAAACCCCTGCAGAAGGAATCCTATCTGCATCACTGTCTTTGCAGGCAACACCTGTCCCCCTTCTGATGAAGTGCTGTGAACAAAGACCACCTGAGTTTTCACTTGTCCACTGTGAGCACCCACAATGCAACTCAAGGCTTGGAAACCTAAATTCCCTATTTGAGGATACTTCAGAACGCCTCAGTTAGCTGTTGAAAACAAGGCTAGCTTTGTCTGAACAATCCTGAAGCTTTCTCCCAACAACATCTAACATCCCTTAGTTAAGATACAACCATCCCATACTTCTAGTTCTTCAATAGTGGTATTCTCCTCGTGGACTTTCAGGTCATTCTGGGAGTCGTCGTCTCCTGCTTCTTGGCCGCCTACAATTTCATTCAGATACTGCTGATCAATCTTATCCAAAGCAGCCTTCAGGTCATTTCTCAAGCCCTAGAAAAGATAAAAAAACGACCAATTTAGGAAAAAAAAACCTCAAGTAAATAAAACCACTTCAGTACTGCCACTGTGAGCTTTCAGCTGCTGTGTAAGAAAAGGCAAATTTTGTAAAAACACGCGTTAAGGGTTTGGCTTTGTTGTCTGAATTTAAACTAACTCCAAGGACTGCTTCAGCACTTAACAAAAAGCAGGTGCATGAACTTCTGCAATGTTTATACCCATCAAAAAGACTTTTTACAGCATTTCTACCAAAAAAGCATGGAGGACTTCCTTCAAGACATTGTCTCCAAGCAATGGACTGAAACACCCCAAAACAAGCAGAAAACAGACCATAACCATCATCAGCTCTACAAGTCTTTAGATCTGCCCTAAAAAAAGCTGAAATAAGGTAACACTCCTTCAGCACCATCACAGAAAACATTTGCATTGTTTCCTTTTATAACAAATCATTTAAACATACCAGAGTGTTTTATGTATGTTAAATGTTTGAAAGCCCCTACTATAGAATAGTTGATTACAAAACCAGAATCAGTTTAAAACCATATACAGAGAGAGAGTTAAAAGCTGCTTTTGAATAGAACAAGAGACTTGTCTTAGTCACAGTTGGGGGATTTGCATTCCTGTCTTGAGACATAAAATACAAAGCTCCATAAAGGAGTATGACGGTTCTTACCCTCAGATACATTCAGCCACTCCACAGGGAATGGATATGCACAGTTATTTCCTCTCTTCCATCATCATACTTGGCTGTCTGGAACGTTTCTATTAATCATTTAGTAGTCTAAAAACATCTGAACCACAAACTGGTGGTGACTAAGCAACACACAGAATCCCCCCAGACAGCAGCAGGAGTGGCTGAAACACGTAACACACAAATCCAACACAGTCCTCTTTGTGAGCTCACTATTTCCTAATACACCTATTACTGTCATCCATGTCACTCAAGGGGAAGCTTTCTTTCATTAGCAGAATTTTTATTTTTAAACATTCAGATCTGTGTATTTTAAAGACTTGAAGAGGAAAAGGCCTTCCTTTTATGGGCATCTCCAGCAACACCATTTGAAACAATTCAGGTTGGCACAAATTAGGGAAGAAAATCCAAAACATCTCTCTCTTAGTAGGGTTACAAATTTGGTTAACAGCAAATGCAAAGCAAACCCCAACTGTATCTTCTCACTTAATTGATCATTTCTTAAGACACAAGGAATAAATTAGTTGCATCTTTCTGTCAGTTTTTGAACTGATGGCTAATTTAAAGGGAAGACGGGAAAAAAATGAAGTTTCTGTAACAAACCATCCCTCTGGAATCCGGGGATTTTAAAAATCATTCATATGCCAAAGAGACAGGATGTAGTCCTGCTCTTACTTACCTGTAGCTTCTCAGGGATGCACATAATCACAAACACAGGATTGTTTTAACAGTAAATGACTGTTCTCTGCTGGTTAAAAACAGGAGCAGCACAGGCTGGGGTATCAGTGCCACCTGAAGGCCCCTCTTCCAACTGACAAGGGCCTGGAAGGTTCCTAGGGTTGAATTCTTACATAATTGTAATTGTGCACAAAACTCTGACATTTAACACAGTTTCTCAGGCAATAAATGAGATGGAGCAGATAGTTCTCTTTGCTCTTTCTTTCCTGAAAATTACGTTACTGCAACTGATTTTCAGTAACTTTTACTGGGTTACTCATTGATTATGCCACCACAAGTAAGTAACTAAGGGCCAGTCTTACCTTGTTCACTTCAGGTGCAAGAATTTCTATCTTCCTCAGACGCTGAAATGCATCATAATCTGTTTCTCCAAACAGCCTGATGGGCTCACCCCTCTCTCGTAACCTCCTGATAACCTGAAAAGAAATCAAAGCATTCCCTGAAGCATAAAGGAAGCAAAATGAAATCCAGAATGACAGATTTATTTACTTTGCTTAGAATAACAAGCTGAGTTGGACTGGAGAGGAAATGGCAGTATTTTAAGCAGTAGAAAAATGTTCCAGACACTTTACAATCTAAATATAAAATTCCCACGGTACTTCAGTGAAAGGTCATTCCAAATATTACCGATCTAAATTTTGCATAAAATCCCAGGCTGTTTGACACAGCCTAACTTCCTCCTGCTCTGACTTGTTTAAACAAATACACAAAAATCATCCCTCTGGCAGAGCCTAAAGACCATTTTCAAAATCACAAAGGAACTTGACGATTATCTCACTCACCTATTTGCCTGGGCAATAAAAATACTAACTGAGCTGCAGATTGTCCCAGAACAGCTACAAGATGATCTGCTGAAAATTCCCACCCTTAAGCATTTGGAAAATATGCAGTCCCATAATCTAATGGGGTTGCTATTAAAAAGGAGATATAACAGAAGTGAAAAAGCCTCCCCTGACTGATTTGCAAAGTCACGGGCAGAGACAAAAACTGAACTTTATTCTCCCAATTCTTTATTTCATGCATTGCTTGATAAATCTCTGTATACTTAACCATTACTCACAGAATCACAGAATGGTTTGAGTTGTAAGGGACTCTAAAGATCATATGGTTCCAATGCCCCTGCCACGGGTAGGGACACCCACCACTAGACCAGGTTGCTCAGAGCACCATTCAACCTGGCCTTGAACACTTCCAGGGATGGGGCATCCACAGCTTCTCTGAGCAACCTGTTTCAGTACCTCAACACCCTGAGAGTAAATTTTTTCTTAACATCTAATCTAAACCTACTCTCTTTCAGTTTGAAACCATTCCCCCTTGTCCTGTCACTACAGTTCCTGACAAAAAGCACCCTCTCTGGCTTCCTTGTAGGCCCCTTCAGATCCTGGAAGGCCGCGAGGAGGTCTCCACCCAGCCTTCTCTTCTCCAGGCTGAACAGCTCCAACTCTGAATTAACCACTGAAACTAAACAACTGAACTAAGTTCATTTAATCCATCAAGCAATAAGCTAACTGATACAATTGATAATCAGGCTTACACTTCATTTCATGTCACCACCTCACCATGCCAACAGACTGGCTGGACAACAAGAAACTAATGTCGAGACCTTATTTTGTTTATTCAGTCTGGGTGTCTTGCTGTGTGTTGGCAAACATTTAACTTGCAAATGTATCCAAAAAAAACAGGGATGGAAAGAGCTCTGGCACAGCAATACCTAAACCTGGATCAAAACATGCACACCAAGGGCATCAACAGCAGAGAGAAAGTGCATACACAGGACATAAAGACCAAAATTCAAAACAAACGTGAAAACAGCAGTTTGTGTTACCAGTCCTGTAACCAACTCCTGTAAAAAACAGTGAGCATTATCCAAGGATAATGCTAATATTCAGGATACTACTCCAGAAGTCATCTGAAAGAGCTGTAAAATCTTAGAAAGCATCTGTATAAATCCATATAATGAAGAGGCTCTACCCATCTGTATCTCCCTCTGCATTTGTTTGGAGAGCAGGGCCTTGATAAGCAAAGATAAACACTAATTGCTGACTGTAAAAATGGAAGCTTATTATTTAATAAAACTGTCATAAAAAGTACAGTTCACTGGGAAAAAAAAAACAGCTCTAATAATGTATCTCTAATAATTTCAGATACGTTTGCTGTGAATTCAGGGAGTCTGTTTACGCTGATTTATTTTACCTCCTGTCTGGAAAGGGTCATTGGCAACTTTTCTTCTGCCAGTTCCAGTTCCAGCACTGGATTTGATGCGGCCAGTGGTTTCTCCTCCTCTTCCTGCTGCTGTACCTACATTCAACAGACATAGTTACTAATGTGTGATGGAAATAAACCCATATATTGATGCTAAACGATATAAAGCAATGTAAAGATACAGAACTCCGGGGCACAGACTTTAATAGGACAATATAAACCTTTAGTTTCGTAGTTTTATGGTCTGCAATTGGGTTTCCCAGAACAATAAATGTTCTTGATACGATCAGAAATGAACTAACACTTCTGCAGGTTGCAGGAAGCAGTCTCTAGAGCAAACAGAAAGGACAATTGCTGAAGTCTGGCAGTCACTTTGGCAGGCAGATGCCAGCACTGGTGCCAAAAACAGCAAATCCACCCTCTGCCTGTTGATTCCTGCCCCTGGCTTCATCCTCCTTACCCGTGCAAAAGCATTTGCATCACTGTGCGATGAACCAGAGGGGGGAAATGGTTCAAACAGAAAAATAATTTGACGACCACAAATACAGGTACTGTTCCCAGCCCTCTTCACCTCCTCACCCAGCTCACCAGGCACAGCACATGGAATAACTCAGGGGCAAGAATGAAAACCCAGGGATAGGGAGAGAGCAGAGCTGCTTCTTCCAGTGTCAGCTGAAGGGTTTATAACCTACAGCTTCAGTGACCTGAGCACAATTAGCAGTGATCCACGGCTCCTGCTGGGTTTTGAGGGGTGCTTGTTTTGGGTAATTCATCTTTCTAACAAGCTTGCCAGGTTCAAAAAAAAAAAAAAAAAGAAGATACCTACAACTCCTCATAGGAAGAAGATCTCATTAACAACTCCTCTTAATCCAAAAGAAGGTCCCTGACTCAAACAGAGCATCCCCTCTTCATTACTCAATATTTTAATAATGCAAAACAACTCTTTGATCAAAGTCACTTTGAGACAGCAGCCGTGTAGCTACAGCTCCCTGTATAAGCTCAAATTCAACACTTCTGACAGCAGGAGCAGATTGCTGGTGGTAATATTCCTACAACAAGGGAATATTTCCAGTGCTCACTCACATCTTGGCTTTTCTCTGATGCCTTATTAGAATTTATTTCCTTTCCATACTTGCTAAAAGGGAAACAATCCAATTAATGCCACAGCACCCTTCAGCATTCCCTGTGCACGGGCAGCACACTGTCAGCTCCAGTCTGCATTTGGGTTGACCAGTTTGATGAATGTACTGGACAGAATTTTTTTTTTTTTAAAGAAGCTTTTTTTATTCTTTCTGGCCACCATGCCAGCCTTGCACTCAGGTGTCAGTGTGACCCCATGTGACTGGAAAGATCCATCCCTGGGGCTCCTGCTACAAAATTCAGCCACATCTCTACATTCAATGCTGTATTAGCAAACACAGACCAAAAAAAAAAAAAAAATCAATCCTACAAGCACATGTGTTTGAAACAAAGAAGGAAGTACAACCAAATCAATATTTCACACAAAAGGAGAGGAAAAATAAAACTTCCATCAGTGCAGGAAAGGGGGAATTGACAGAAGACAGAAAATATGGAAGAACTGTATAAAAAAAGAAAAAATATATATCTAAAGAAATATACTCCCATGGCAGAAGGATACATACAAATTTTAACTTACAAACATTCTTGAAATGATAAAGAGACAGCAGCATTGGGGGAAAAGGTTTGATCCACTCTGTCAGCTGGACTCCAAATTACAAGCAGTATCTTTACCTCAGTTATTTTTCTTTCAGTGCTTTCTTTAAGCAAGTGAAATTATTACAACTTATCAAGTCTAAGCAAAGC